AGCCTGAAAAAAGAAAACAAATGCAGCCACCACATCTAAGGATTGTTAAGCTGCAATATATTTGGGTTTAAAGTGATACTGAATGTTTACTTTTTCTTTAAAAATAATAAGCATGTTATACTTACCTGCTCTGTGTAATGGTTTTGCACAGAGCAGCCCCGATCCTCCCCTTCTTGGGTCCCCCTCTGGCTCTCTTGGCTCCTTACTCCCCACTTCTGAGTGCCCCCAGACCAAGCTGATTGCTATGGGTGCACCCATACGTGCTTGCTCCTGAGCCAGGCCTTTGAGTTTCCATAAGACACATGACTCGTTACCGCTCCCTCCTCACTGGCTGTGATTGACAGCGGCAGGAACCAATGGCTCCCACTGCTGTCTAAGCCAGTGAGAGAGAGAAGAGCACCTCAGCCCTTGTGCACATGACTAGATCGAGATTGGGGTAAGGTAAGGGGGGATCTGGGGGGGGGGGGGGGAGCTGCATTCAGGTTTTTCTATCTTAATGCCTTTTTTTGTTGTTAAATTGTATGGGTCTGCTTTTAAGACTATTTATTTTTATGGTTTTTTTTATTGCTTTTTGTGTCCTGGGGGGTTCCTTTTTTATCTCCTCCTGTCTTGGGGATTTAGACCCCGGTCTTGCAAATCGCACCTGAAATCGGCATGTTCCCCGACTTTGAAATCGTGCGACGTCACTGCAAGTTGCACGATTTCAAAGGGCTTGATGTGAGTGAGGGCGTAAGCAGGAAGTGAGAGAATATCTCCCAAAAGTGAGGGCTGTCACCACATCTGTCCCTACTGAAAGATTTTACGATTTTTCTCTCTTGCAGACAATGATCACCACAACAAAGACAGGGATAAATACTCTAGATGGGACAAAGACTGCAATAAAAAGTTGACAGAAGGTCTAACACCTTTTCTATGCATTCAGAAACAAAAAAAAAAAGGAACAAGTAAGGATTGCCTTTACATACATTTTAAGCTTTTATGGTAAATTGTAATAATAGCTTTCAAATTCTGATCAAATCTTTAAATCAAAATAAATGCAAGATTTATGTATTAACTAGACTGTCAGCAGTGCTAATTGTATTAAACTTGGGGAAGGATATGTGAAGTCACAGCCCACCAAAACCACTCCTTTACTAGAAACTAGACACTAGAACTGAAAATTGTGCGTAGATGAAAATAAATGACTAAGAAACCTTCTATGATTTGCTGTTTTTGTTTCAAAATGACCAACAGTGACGCATGCCGCCCCTGGTAGCAAGTGTGGCAGGGATGTGTGCAGCAGTCATTATTCATTTTAATGAAAAGTCTTTACTCCTGAGTGGAATGAGGACAATTGAGTAAGTAGCTTGTTAGGGATTCTGAGCACTCAAAGTGGAATTCTTCAAAAAAACTGAAACCAAGCCATTCTAGTTTTCCTACAGTTTTTGAGAAATGGCAGTTATGCTGGTGCATAGCACGCTGCTGTGTTGTGTTCGCTGCTGCGACCGTCTCATTATGCCACAGCAATTACTATTATTCCTGTGCGAATAGTTGCCTAATAGAAACCATTGCTGAAAAAAAAAATCTGAAGGTTTTGTTTGTTTATTTCTGTCATTACTGAGGAAGGGTTAGAATCTCTGTCAGAGTATTTGTATTATTGTGGTTTGTAACTCTGTTAGGAAGATTTCCCCTCTTTTTCCATCAGCAGGAAAAGAAACAGACCTGACCAAGGTTTACCCTCCTATTATTTTTTTTTTTTTCAGTCTGTCTGCCGTGGAATGATTTTGTTATTTCCAATACATCTTCACCTCTGAACAGGAAGTGAGGGATATTGGGGGCACATACTACAGGGAAAACCTGTTCCACCTTCTAAACCTTCCCTACTCGATCAAAATAAAGTGTTTTCACTACAGCTGGCCTTTTAACCTCCGTATAGGATTGTTCACCAAGACTATTCAAAATTCAGTAATGATTTACAATGTGGAATTTACATAGAAGGCTAATTTGTTGGTGGTAATAAACTTCCTGTTACTGAATTTCAAGCAATTGAGGTGGATTATTCAGTAGTTCAGGAAATACTTGCTTTTTATGTTGCATACTTTGAATTTTAGTTATTTCAGGTACTTATATAGTGCTGTCCATTTACACAGCACTTTACATATATATTGTACATTCACATCAGTCCCTAACCCTCAAGGGGTGTACAATCTAAGGTCCCTAACGTACATTCATACATACACATACTAGGGACAATTTAGACAGGAGCCAATTAACCTACCAGCATGTCTTTGGTGGGAGGAAACCCGCACAGGGAGAACATGCAAACTCCAGGCAGGTGGTGCTGTGGTTGGGATTCGAACCAACAACCCTAGTAGTGCCAGGTGGAAGTGCTAACCATTTAGCCACTGTGCTATCCCATTTTATTAAGAGTTGTGAATCTTCACTCAACAAATTGAGTGACAATTCACTTTTATTATCTAGTAAAGTGAAAAGCAGACTCCTGTTTTTCCCTCTGCATGTGTTTGGGTTTTCAAGGTAAACACTGCTTAAGTCTCGGTGAATTTTCACTTTACAGAAGTAATTTGAGGAAAATTCAAAACTTCCCTTGCAGTGTGACTTTCCACATGCCTTGGGGTTAAATGAATTTTTTTTTTTTTCTAGGAAACCATTAAACAACTTTACTTACTTTATCCAATGCTCCCCTGGCACCTTGCGATCTCCTCTTTCCTCTGATTGTTTTGGATAGTGAGAGGGCCCTTGGCATCCTCATTTACAATGCAGGCCTGCTTGTTCTGTTTTATATGCGATGTCAGATTGCCTGTGACCAACAGAGCGTCAGAAAAGCCGCTGCAGAGGACCATAAAAAGGGGAAAGCTACAGGAGCTAAAACTGCGACGGTACCCTAGACAGTGGTCGACGCCGCTGCTCGCGAGCCACATGCGGCTCTTTACACATTTTAATGCGGCTCTTCTGTGTGCCGGCCGGCCGCCCGCTCCCCTCCCTCCCTCTCGGGCGGCCGAGGACTCTGCAGCTAGCCCAGCAATGATTGGCCAGTCTCGCTGCCACTCACATCTTGATAGCTAGTGATTGGCTGTCAGGATGTGTGTAGGCGGGGCAGCGTGACGAACGTGAGGGGAGCTAGGCTCCTCTCACAGTCGGCCCTGAAGACCGGAACGGCGCGGGGAACACGGCGAGAGAAACGCGCGGAGCAAAGGTAAGTGAATTGACACAGGAGGGACTTGGCTTACTACTTGCTACTTACTACTATGAGGGATGAACTAATATGGGGGGTGAATTACTATATGGGGGGATGAATTACTATAGGGGGGATGAATTACTATAGGGGGGATGAATTACTATAGGGGGGATGAATTACTATGGGGGGGATGAATTACTATAAAAACTTATTGAAACTAAAAACAGTGTACAATCCTATGTATTTTCAGTTTTAAAAATGTGGCTCTCAAAATAAATTTCAATCGTGGTTTTGGCGAGATTTGGCTCAGTTGAAAAAAAAGGTTGCCCACCACTGCCCTAGACAAAAGGTTAAGTATTGAGGAGGAGCATTAACTATTAAGGAAGAGCATTAATCACTGATTCAAAATGCTGTATTAGTAGTGTTGAAATATTTTTTGAAACTGTGTATATGTCCTCTGTCCATCCCTGATGCAGCAGCGGCTGTTTTGTTTATTTCTTGGATGGTGTAGGCTTTAGCTATGCGGTCTGCCCATCACTGGCTTTTTAACATTCGCAAGCCTGCTTCAGGAGCCATGATCGAGCATCTGATCAGCACAGTTAAGTAGGCTATAGACTTCCGATAAAGTTGACGAATTATCGGCAGATAAAAAAATCGGCCTATATTCGGATAGTTAGTGGAGAAATCGGTAGGCCGTATTTCGTAATTTTAAGACATTTCGAAAATGAGCCCCGCTGGAAAATCGTCGGACGATTTGGTCGTTCGGCTGATTTTTCGTGGTAATTATGGTCAAATCGGCCGTTCTTTTTGCAGATTTACAAATAATTGAAAAAGAAGAAATAGAATATCAAGAAGGAATAGATTTTGCAGAAGAAGAATAGATTTTGCATAAGAAGAAGAAACAACATTGTATCTATTTGTATCCATTTCGGATACAGATGTTTCTATTCAAGTACAAATAGATACAATGTTGTTTCTTCTTCTTATGCATAATCTATTTCTTCTGTCAAATATAGTAGTGGGTCTCTATGCAGGGGCACTGCTATTATGTTAATTGCCGGCCGTAGACGGGACGAAAACCAGCCGACTTTTTTTCACAATGGTAGTAACGTTGGCCGACTGAACAACTGATTTTACGATTTTCTAAAAAAAGTCGGTTTTCTCCTAGTCTATGACCTGCTTTAGTCTGCACCATCCAGTGCCCAGCAGGGAGGAACATGCTTGTCTAAAGGATTGCCAGAGATGTGCTCTTTTACTCTTGATCACCTACACACTCTCCGTCTGAATGGGTAGCTACAAGCGGAGATTGTACAGGTTATTCTGCTCTAACTGGCATGGGGTTAATTAAAACAGGTGGTGATCTCTGGAATGATACTAAGGTATTTATGGGACTAAATTTACAAAGAATTGTAAAGAGACCAGATGAAACAATTGAGAAATGGAAATTGAAGCTACTTACATGAGGTTATTTCAAAGTATGAAGCAATGATATAATTGTATTCAGAAGCAATGTGTATTAACTTGGATAAATTGCTTTAAACAAAGGAGCTAAAGCTGAGCTTGGCTTACAAATGCAGCATCATTCTATCTAAAATTCACTTGTATATAAATAGTTTGGTTTTTTTTGTTTTGTTTTTTTAATTCAATCCTAAATATGACCTTGGCTTATTTTTCTGTTTCAGGAGCTGCTTGGCCCATATGGTTTAAAATTCTACTTCTGCAGCTGATATTTGAAGAAAAATAGGCTGTACAAGATAGTCTCATCCGTATTATTGTTTTTTTTTTTTTTTTTTTTTGTTGTTAAAGTGCTCCATTAATTTTTGAAATGCTGAGAAGAAAACTCCGCCATTGTAAAGTGAATTGCGTAAGCCTTTTCCTCTTTATAGCTCTTACAGTTGTGACTCTTACACTTTTTAAGAACCACAACAAAGCTCTGTCTTTTAGTAAAAGGAACTTGGAGTTGGTAGAGGAAAACCAAGACCATGTCAACTGTACCAAAATCATTAAGGGGGACATTGAGGAAATTCAGACTTCCAAACTGGACCTGCTAAGAGTGGATTACAAAAAAAGGCACAACCGGCTGACTGAAAAAGACTTCATCAATCTGACAAAAGACTGCAACTCATTTACTAAAAATCGTAAATATATCCTCTATCCCCTTAGTCGGGAGGAGAGTGAATTTCCTATAGCCTATTCGATAGTGGTGCACCATAAAATTGACATGCTGGAAAGACTTTTACGCAGCATTTATACGCCTCAGAACTACTACTGCATCCATGTTGATAAAAAGTCTTCAGAATCCTTTTTGTCTGCAGTGAAGGCAATTGCATCTTGCTTTGAAAATGTCTTTATTGCATCTGAGCTAGAGAATGTGGTGTACGCATCCTGGACACGGGTTCAGGCTGACCTCAACTGCATGAAAGATTTATACAAAGCCAATGCACAATGGAAGTACCTAATAAATCTTTGTGGCATGGACTTCCCTATAAAGACCAACAGGGAAATAGTACAAATGTTAAAAGCGTTAAAAGGAGAGAACAGTCTAGAAAGTGAAAAGATGCCAGTACACAAAGAAAGCAGGTGGCGAAAACACTATGACATCGCAAACGGCGGTATTCATAAAACAGACATTGACAAAGAACCTCCACCTTCTCAGATTCCAGTATTTTCTGGCAGTGCCTACTTCATTGTCAGTAGGGCATTTGTTGGGAATGTTTTGGAAAATAATAAAGCTAGAACGTTTTTAGAATGGTCCAAGGATACCTATAGCCCGGATGAATTTTTGTGGGCTACCCTACAAAGAATTCCAGATGTGCCTGGATCCGTCCCTGCAAATAGTAAATATGATGTATCTGACATGAATTCCATAGCCAGGTTTGTGAAATGGGAATACTGGGAAGGAGATGTCGCCAAGGGTGCCCCGTATCCTCCATGCAGTGGGACCCATGTCCGCTCAGTTTGTGTCTTCGGTGCAGGAGATTTACAGTTCATGTTGAAGCAGCACCACTTGTTTGCTAACAAATTTGATATTGAAGTTGACCCCGTTGCCATTCAGTGCCTGGAAGAACACTTAAGACACAAAGCTTTGTATTCTAATAGACACACTTGAACTGTATAAATGGCCATTGGTATTCATAGTGCTATAAACTTGGAATGTGTAGTTCTTATTTTTATTGATGTGACAAATCGACCTTGCACATTGCAAGTAGTACTAGGTTGTAACAAAAATAAATGTACAGATTTAGGCTATGCACTATTTCACAGCTGGAAAGATGTATAACATTTTTATTTTAACTCCGTAGGAGTTGCAGTGCAATAAAATCCCAGCTGCATTGTCATATCCTTATGTCCAGAGTGAGGCCTTATTTATAGTTGTGACTGTTTAGATAATGTTGACATTGTTGGGTAAAGTTATAAACACCAAAGAAAATATTTCGATATTCTGGCACATTTTTGTTTAAAATATTTATATAAAGGATCTGTTAACCATCTGAGGCTTTCCCTAAAAATTGGACCTTTTTATGTCTTACATGCAGTGTTTTTGATCTGCTAATATGTTCCATTTTAGACCACAGTTGAGTAGAATTGTCAAAGCCTAGCTGCCTGTCATACCATAAATTCTTGGAAACATTGTTTTGTTATAAACGTCAGCAGCCATTTCCTGGAATATTTAACAGTCATACAAACTGCAGACAGTGTCTTTTTTGCTTCCATGCAAAATTCTCCATTTCTTGTTAACTATGATATACACAACGTTCATAATGTTTATAAAGGTGCCATCCAGTCAGCACTGGTTCCATCCAATATATAATTTACTCTAAGGGATGTAGTCAAACATTTGGACACAGTAGTCCATTTGCCAAAATCATGTTCGATTCAGCTTGCTGAAAGAATTAATCAATCCCAGGTATTTAATTGTAAATCTACTGAGCCTTTTAGATAGGGGAAGGGAGTCCATCATTCACTTATGAATGTCCTCTTTTGAGCATTTGTCTGTGTAGCCAGATATTAACATATTGATTTTCCACTGGATCATCATGTTTAATTGAAAATGGAGTTTGTGTTAGAGAATGTTTGCTACAGCCAAATTTCACATTTTCATGAATTTGTGGCCAAAAGATGAAAATATTTTAGCCAATCTGTAATGAACAGTTTTATGTATAGCTGATGTAAAAATAGTCTGGTAATTACAGAACCTTTGCTAGAGTTTAATATTAGATTTTAAATATTCTTGTCAACTGAAATTTATTTAATATCCGTAAAATGTTTGCTGTATTTTGATGCACAGTTTTTTTAGGCATTTCAGCAAGCCTTCATTTTTTTTCTGTTCCTCTAAATCCAAAGGCCTGCGTTTATAGATTTGTATGCAGAGCACTTTTCCTCAGGACATTTTTTAGTATTGTTAAGTGCCTGTCCAATGTTCATATGAAGAATATTCTATATTTTTCTACAAAATCAAGCACTTTTATTTTTCTGGGTCATGATTGTCAAAATGGGTACTATACAGTAAATGTAAATGGTGTTGATGCTGATCTGAATAAAGCCAAACATTGCTTAAATTGCATGAAGTGTCAGATTCTTTACAATCTCTGCCACATATTGCCATTTCTTTGTTCCTCCTATATCAATGAGTCTTTCATGAGTCACTGTTGGCATTAAAACGCAGATATTCAATGACCATGGAAGACCCCAATTGCTGAGAGGATTTGGAGCCTCCAGACTGTGTACAGGACAATTTGTAACAAATAAAGCACAACTAATGCTTGTTATTTCGCTGTATGTTCCTCCTCAACTCCTTACAGGTTAACTTCCTAAGTGTTAAATGTAGATGCTTCTTTCCCATTCATTGATGAATACAGGAGTACCGAGTCTTTCAGGTTTTACTGCTGCCTACAGGAGGAAAATGACAAACCTAAAATGCCTTTTTTTTTTTTTTTCTGCTTTTGAAAGCTTCTTTATTTCTGCTAAATCACTGCTGGTCTGGTCTCTGCTCAGTTACATGGATTGGCCTTTTATAGCTTGACTTTCACATGCCATACCCAAATCCAAACTGGGTGTTGTGGGGCTAGCCTGAAAGCTGTCCTTTGAGTTCCAGGCTATGTACTGTGGTGCCTTCCAGACCAAAGTGTACTGGTTAAAGGAGATCTTTAGTCACAGCGTACACTTTTTTTTTTTTTTTTTTTTTTTTTTTTTTTTTTTTATAACCTCACCATTTAAAAGCAATGCAAACAATGTTGGTTTCTTTTTGTTTTTTTACAATCCAATATAAGATGACTTAGAAAATGTCCCTTTTGTGTTATCGCTGCCTATTTCTTTCAATGATTTCCTGGATTCCCTGCATTAAATGCAACTGACTCTCTACTCACTCCTTTTTGTTTTACTATCAAATTCTAAGGAGTACTTATCCCATGTTACTTTGCTGCCTGCAAGCAGGATTCCTATATTAATTATGCCTCGTGAAACTTCTGAGATCCTCTCTAGTTGGGTGACACAGCAGTGAATATTCACAGTGAAATGTTGCAAAATTTAGGAAATGTGTGGAATTCTTCACAAAGTAAGTTTACAAGTCTCAAGATTGTTCAAAGATTGGAGTAGGCTAGGAAAAATTCAATGTGGAAATGTATATGATGTTATTATTTGATCTTAGATACACTTTCTTAGCCATGGGATGCTCTTCCAGAGCTGTGGTACAGCCTTATGAGTGACCCGGTCTCCGAAGACTCGCTTTGTGAGTAAGCTCTGTGGGCAAGTACTGGGAATTACCTTTTTAATGGGACAGCTGGGTGCCCTAAGAAAAAAAAAAAAAAAAAAAAAAAAAAATCTCTACTTTCCACTGGTTTTACTACGAAAGGGGTTAACACTGAGGGATGGAGTGCCAACATTATCTGCTTGGTGGAGTGGTACTTGCTCTGCGCTGTTTGATCCTATTTCTGCTACCTAGCAGATGGGTTACAGAGTATCCAAAGCTATGTTAAGTTCTGCCTTGAGCTGTAATATATATGCCTGGTTCTAGAAATGTTGGGGACAGTCCTGGTCCTAATACTGGGTGGCTGCAGCGAGCACTTCACTAACCGTTTTGGTGCTGCTATCATGTACCCCCTGAGGTGTCTGACGCTCTCACCACCCCCCCCCCCACAAAAAAAATGGGGGAAAATGTCTGTATGCCTTTATAGAGCGAATATGGAGCGGCTGGACTCATATTCCCTTCGCTGCCATGTTCGATCACCGGGCTCTACTGTGCAGAAGAACCTGCTCCTCAGTCCTACCTGTTCATCGGTCCAGCGGTGTCCTGCTTTCTCCGGCTGTCTTTCTCCCCAGTGCCAGCATCTTCAGTGTGGGCACCCGGCTGTGACAGCTTGTGGATTCACAGCTAGGTGCCCACTGTGCATGCTCAAGAAGCGCTGCGCTTTGTGAATGGCCACCTGTAGTCTTCTGGGAACGGTTTTGTCCCACAAGACTACGGGGAGGACAACTCTGCAAAAGTGGTAGTGGGTACCTGTCCGCCCGCTCCCTAGAGGTCTGAAGTCTCTGGTCACCTCCTGTAGTATGTCCGCTGTCTCTGGTCACCTCCTGTAGTATGTCCGCTGTCTCTGGTCACCTCCTGTAGTATGTCCGCTGTCTCTGGTCACCTCCTGTAGTATGTCCGCTGTCTCTGGTCACCTCCTGTAGTATGTCCGCAGTCCATTGGTTCAGAATATTTTTTCTTGTTTTCCTCCTCTAAAATCTAGGTCTGTCTTATGGAGCGAAAAATACGGTATATTTCCACACTTCCCCCTTAAAATCTCTATTCAAACTTCCTGTGGCCTTGACAGCCTCTGAGCTCTTAGCTGCCAGAGCCCTGTCTGATGCTGAGTCTCTTAAATTCCCAGTGGATGAATCTTGTACACATTTGGGGACAAATTGGTTAAAAGGTGGACTGCTCTTCTCTGTGGATCCAGCAATATTCCTCTGACAAATCTCAAGGAGGATGCAGCTGTCTTTAAGGACCCCATCAATAAATGGCTGGATGCCCTTTCTAGAATGCTATTCATTCTGACAATACCTGCCCTGCAATCTGTCTTGCAATAACATTAGTCTGTCAGAGCCTAATAGGGCTAAGGCCATTAGGAGGGACCCACTGACTTTGGAAGTTGATTCCATGATTTTGTTATTTATTTATTTTAATTTTTTAGAGCATCTGGAGCTTATGGCCACAGCTTTGATCTACAGTGTGAGCAGGTTGTTAGAAGTCTCATCACATGTTCCACATGGAGCTCCTGTTGCTGAACATATGGAGGACTCTAGCTGAAATGTTGGGTTGCTTTCAAAAAGTACTTGCTTTGTATACCCTTTGACAAAGTCTCTTCAGAGATGCCCTGAATACCCTCATTAGGGGTGTCACCAGGGCAAGAATATCCATCCCTGGCAGAAAAAACCTAGGCCCCATCTGGGAAGGCTTACTTCTCAAGAAAATTCCTTTTCTGTTACTCCAGACTTCAACTTCCAAACCCAAGTCTGGCTTTCAGTCTGCATGCTAACCCCTGGCCTGCCAAAACACTCGGATAAATCTTCAGCATGAGGGGGTGACTTAACTTTCCAAAAAGGGGGAGCTCACTCTGTGGCAGGGTGGATTTGATTTAAATCACTAGTCAGTAAGGCTTGATTTAAATCATAGTTTTCTACATAGACTAATTCTTGCTGGTATAACTTTAATATGCAAGTAGATGAAGATTTTTAGAATAACTTTTCATATTCGTTTTTTTTATCCCCAGTTTAATAGGTTAATCATTCATATTTGGACAACTTTTCTGTTGTACTTAGGAAGGAGAAAAATAATCATTACCTTAATAACAATTTAAATAGATTTATTCAACTGAAACAATAACATTACAGCATATGTTATTTGCTTAAACATCCATCCATGTTTGTTACTAATTTGGCTAAACAAAATATATATATTTTAAGAAACTTAGACTGTCAGCCCCTTCCTCCTCACACTTAGTTTCACTTTCTTCTTGTGCAGATCTATTCCACTCCAAACCATCAGAAAAATATTGTTTCTATTCTATTCACTGAACTTCTTGAAACTTAGCACTGAAGGGGTTGATTCTGTATTCATAGGTTTGTAGA